GAATGTTCAATTTCCTTGCACAGTCGAATTACAGTAATAGTTTACCGGAGGTACTTCCATATTACGCGGGATTGGGTACGTAAATTAAGCGGAAGTTTGACGTACGTCACGAGACGACGCGAATATCCGAGATACGAATTTTGCACGAACGAAAGGGAACTCGTTTCGTTCGTGCGTGCAAGCGAGCGAGCGAGCGAGCGAGCTTCTACCTATTCGACACGCATGGTTTCTAGTATGTCTATATGCCTGTGCCTGATTTGTGTGTGTGTGTATGGGCGCGTGCGCGTATGCGTATACCGTGCATTCCGGTGACGCGAATAACGCAGGCTCGAGTGCGACTAGGAGAGAGAGAGAGAGAGAGAGAGAGCTCGATTAAGTACGATTCAATGCCAAAGCTTTAATGCCACGGTCGTTCGAGTGCGGCAATTGCGTTTAATTCATTGTTTCTCTTTAATCTATGATCGAGCAACACGTTATTTAAAAACTTCAACTCGATCGAAATGAAAAACGAAAAAATAAAGAAAAGAGAGAAATGTTCTGCGTTTGAATAAAATTTTGTATTGCGTCGTAATGCAAGGAAAAAGAAAAAAAAAAAAAAAAGGAAAAATTCTTCTGGTAACGTTGAAAGAAATGATCGATATCATTTAACGTCATATCCGATGTTATTCCGGACTCACGAACGTTCAATGTAACGAATAGAGATGACATCAGATAGGTATGTTAGGTGGATAGATAAAATGTTGCATAAGAGACGAGCTAACACTCCTACTGTTCTCTTGTTGTTGTTGTTGTTGTTGTTACGCGTTTGCAAATTCAACAGCATTCTTGCATATTCTCTATTCTAGTTTAATTTCGTATTCAATAAGAGTCTCGTTTAGCATAGTACGTACCAACACACGTATCTATGAGAGTTCAAGCGTGTGCAGTAAGTGAGAATTGGACTTTGTTAAATATAAAATGTGACAACGACAAGGACGTTGCGGAACCGACCGATCGACGTGATAAAAAATACTTTGAGAGATATTTCTTCGTTGTATCTTTTTTGTTTTTTCTTTTATTTTTTTTTTTTTTGTCTTTCAACCTGACCTCCAATTTAACACGTAAGATGATTAAAAATAAAACGATGTTTCAGCACGGATAGCGGATGGGACAACCCGTTCAGGCCGGACGGTGACTTGTCGAGAGAAGCTGACGAGATAGTCGAGCTGATAAAGGGTGGGAAACCGATCACCCCAACTCCCGGACAAACGGCACCACCTTTACCAGGATGCGAAGAGACGGGCAAAACGACGCCTGGACCGGATCATGATTCGAGTTCCAGTCCTCTTCTCAAATCAAATGCAAACTCGACGAATCGTCATTCGAACGCATCGCCGAGGCTCAATCAAGGAAATGGGAATGCTCATGGTACGCCGATAAAATCCTCGACGGCAGTGAACAATCAGCTGAGTGCAAACGAGAAGGTAATTTAAATCTTTATCTTGATTCTATTATTATTATTATTATTATTGTTATTATTATTATGATGATGATGATGATGATGATGATGATGATGACTGATTTATCGATCGATTTCAGGTTGGCCCAGGATCGAGGACTGTCGAAGTTGCGAGAATGACGGCACAAGGACCAGGCGATGCGTCGCAGGTCGAGCACGTTACGCTGAAGAAGAAGCCTAAATGCAAGTGCTGCGTGTTGCAGTAACGCGAGGGAAAACGCTTTAGGACGTCTTGCGAGATCTAAATGCACGAGAAGAGAAAGGAAAAAAAAAAAAGAAAAGAACAGAAGGGGAGACGACGTAATACCGGCAGAGCTTGCTTACTATCGATCGTCTAAGCGAATTAAAAGAACAAAAAAAAAAAAGAAAAAAAAGAAAGAAAAGAAAAGACGAAACGAAACGAAAAGTTAAGAAAAGAACATGCAAGATAAAAGGCGGGAAAGAAGAGGAGCTTTCGAATAGCATCCGTGGAGTAACGATTACCAAACTCTGGTAATTAATAAATCACACCTTCGTGGCAATGAATCCGTTTCTCAATTATATTATCATATCGTTGTTCCAACGAGAAAACGTCGAGAGTATAAAGAAAAATAACAAAGATATAACAAGATATTGTTGTTTTCTCGGCTCTCGAATAAAAAAAGAAGGAACGATTTTATCTACGAGAGTGGACTCCTCTCTCTCCTTGATGTATTTGCGTCTATAAATGGTCTCGTAGTAAAAAAAGGCTAACGTGTCCATAGTTGTTCTACGCTCGACGTATCCACGAGACGTAATCGATGTTCAAATGCATCTAAAGTACATATGTCTGCCGAGGAATAGGTGGGTGAGTGGGTGGGTGGGGAGGAGGAGAAGGGAGCTGGAAAATATTCGAGATGAAATAAAAAAAGAAAAAAAGAAAAAAAAAAAGAAAGAAAGAAATAAAGAATGAAGAGAGATGAAGATTATAATAAAACTATATTGTAGATAAAGAATGGTAGCTGTATAGCTTATATGCTTTTACTATTGTGGTTTAAAATATCAAGATTATCGTGATTATATTGATTGTGTCGAGCAGCAAAAAACCGTATGAGGGGATGCGCAAAGGAAGCTGAGAACCGTTCGACTGTGTTGAGAATTTTTAAGTAAGAAAAAGAGGGGTGAGATTGAAACGAAAATGCTGCTACTGCTGATGATAATGATAATGATGATGATGATAATGCTGCTGATGATTGATTGATGATGATGACGATGATGATAATAATGATGATGATGATGATGATGATGATGATAAGAGCAAAAGGGGCTCGCTTGAGAACGCAGTTTTACTTCTTATCTGAAGAAATCGCGAAAATCGACGATTCAACGTTCGATCTTCGACATTACTCTCGCCATCTTTTTATCTGTTTCTTCTTCTTCTTCTTCTACTTCTTCCTCCTTCTCCTATTCTTTATGATTTTTTCTATAATTCTTTCTCTTAGCAAAGCGCGAATACACTTTTCGTCCACACTTTATATGTCTGGCTTTATACATATACGTATCAAGTTAGAATAAAACCCGGGCGCTTATGGGGGCTTAAACAAACAGAAAAATTATAAAAAATAAAAAAGTACGTTCTCGTGCGTGATCCGAGTAAAGATTCAGGATTTAAACCTTGGTCTGTAAATATTATAGCTAGTGTATTTTTTTTCGAGTGATGTAGAAAGAGAGAGAGAGAGAGAGAGAGAGAACGAAAGAAAGAATGAAAGAGAGCGAGAGAGAGAGTGTGTGTGTGTATGTCAGAGAGAGAGAGACTGCTTGCGTGAATGATGAGTACAAAGGAAAGAGAGATTGTTATGAAAGAAAAAGAGCTTGCACGAAAGCTCATTGATACAAAAAAAAAAAAAAAAAAAAAAAATAAAGAAAGATGATGTGCACGTACACTAAATTGAAAAGAGTGCGGCGGTTCGATCGAGAAAAAAGGAAGATCAATACTCGAAGGGGATGCGGGATGAAAAAAAAAAAAAAAAAGAAAAAGAAAATGGAGATATTGTTTGATCGCTCTTCTTTCAAGAATTCTTAAACGAGGATTCCTTTAACCCAAATGCTGCTAGAGCACAAACTAAATGCGTGAAGCGCTATCAATTTATTCTGTAAAAATGACGAGTTGGAGATATTTTCTGATTTTTTTTTTTTTTTGCGATCCTCTCATTCCCAACCAAACAAAGCAACCCAGCCCGCCCTCTCCCGATTTTTTGGTTTCTTTATATCTCTCTTAAGTACACGTGCATGTTAGAGCCTATTTATTACTTTAATCTTATATAATTTTGCGTAGTTAGATATGGTATTTAAAAATCTGTATATCTACGAATCATATATATATATATAAATATATATATATATATATATGTATGTATGTATGTATGTATGTATACATACACACACACATACACATGCGAAAAGAAAAACAAAAAATATATGAATATAGATATATAAAAAAAAAATATATATATATACACATATACATACATATATGTATAACAAATGTATAAGGAATGAAATTTAAAGTATATACCAGTCGGTTTCAAGAGCCAAAATGGTCAAGATACGAGCAATAAAGGATCGGCATGGAATTTCGCAAAGGCTATAGCGAAACGTCCGATAGTATTTTGGATCCTTAGCGGAGGATTCTACACGACCCCCTATATTTGGCAATCCAAAACCTCTGGATTTTATGTCCGTTCTGTATCTATAGCGGAGAAGAAGAGAGCGAAGAAGCAGACATGTCGACGTACGTACGCGTTTACGTACATCACATACATATCTGCATATTTTTCTTAACTTCGTTATGATAACGATTTTTTCTGAAACGCGAGAGAAAGAGAGAGAGAGAGAGAGAGAGAGAGAGAGAGAGAGAGAGAGAGAGAGAAAGAAAGTGAGAAAGTGTGCGTGTGAGATGGTGCGTATGAGTGAAAAAGAGAGAGAGAGAGAGAGAGAGAGAGAGAAAAAGATGAAAAGAAGAAAAATTAAAGAAAGAAGACAGGCTATTTTTTCATTTTCTTTAACCTTAGACATGCAAAATGAAAGGCTTGAAGTGTGATGTGAATTTGTAAGTACTGTAAAATCCTGAATTTTTACTTATATAATTATATATATATATATATATATATATACATACATATATATAGAGAGATATCGTCGAATAAAATCGAACACGACGATCTATAATAAGTACGAGGAAGAAAAACGAAAGGATGAACCAAGAAGTTGCAAAAATAAGGGAGAAAAATAAAAGATAAAGCAAGAATAAAGAAGCAATGATTGTAAATGTAATCAGAGAAAACACAGATAAACAGAATAGATTGCCCATCATTTTTCTTTGGAGATTCTCTACTCGCTCATTCTTATTTGATTATAAATAGAGAACGTTATTGCGATTGATTATTATTATTATTATTATTATTATTATTATTATTATTATTATTATTATTATTAATATTATTATTATTATTATTATTATTATTATTATTATTATTATTATTATTATTATTATTATTATTATTATCATTATTATTATTATTATTATTATTATTATTATTATTATTATTATTATTATTATTATTATTATTATTATTATTATTATCCGTAAAATTTATGCGTTTGCGAGCGTACCGACTATATTCTTTTATTAAGGAGCCGATGATAACGTCGAGTAACGTCCTGAAATGAATTTTATTGAAGAACCCTTAAAAGAACACACACAGACATAGACATACACACGCACAGATTTGAGTCGGTACGTTTGACGAAAAAGAAGAAAAAGTTATTTGTCTGTATCGCGATTTTTTTCGAGTGCGCAACCATCGATCATAATGAGTTTCCATTCGTACGATAAGGAAAGAAACGCGAAATCGAGGCCGAAGGGAACGTTGTTTAGAATTCCTAGTTTTTAGTTCCTACACGCATAACTCGCGCGTTATTTAAACGAGATATAAACGGCGATTAGAGCGAGGAGAAAGAAAAATATATGAACGAAAAAAAGCATGCCGCACCAGAGAAGTTAACGCTAAACGTGACGTGAAAATAATAAAGAGAGAACGATTTTTAACGTTTGTATTAATAAATATTATTTCCAAATCGGTTGAGGTCAACAAACCGCTTGCCTGCTTTTCCGACGACGACGACGACGACGACAACGACGACGACGACGAATAAACGCGGCCTTTTCCGACTTGTCCTTCGCTTTCACGCGCTTCTCGCCCAAAAAAAAAAATAGATATCAAAATAATAGTCGATTGAAATGAAAATAAAAAAAGAAAAGAAAAGAAAGAAAAAATAATTGAAAAAAAAAAGTATATCGAGCTCCTGGACATAATAATGGATAATGAGCCTGGTATCCACGCCACGAGGACGAAGGAACTACATGTAGGTAAGATAAAAACAGAAAAAAAAAAGGATAAATATAAAGATAAATGTAAGAGAACCGTAAGAAAAAAAAAATATTCTATTGAATTTAACGCAAATAGAGTTAATTTAATACGCGATTGTTTTCACACATTAGAAAGAGATAAAAAGTAGGAAGAGGATAAAGAAAATATCACGACCTCATTTTCTTTATTCCACATGCATATATCGATATAAAGAAGTTACGATAAATCAGAGACAACGAAATATTCTCGACAAATTCTCATGGGAACGATAAACTTGTCGTACTTTCGACGTTCTAGTAAATTATGCGAATGAAAAATCTTCATAGATCTGACATATACGTAATAATGTTGAAAGATTTACGCATACGTAATATTACATAAAACCTCTTCAAATCGACACCGTTTCATCACAAAATTATTATTCGAATGGTAATATGATAATTACACTCTCGAAAATTTAACAACTTTTGTATCAAGTGACGTAACCATACAACTTCGATACCGGAAGATAACTTTCCAAAAGATTTCGATTGATTGCTCTTTCGCTTCTCTTCGTTGAAACATTTTCTATTTTAATAAAGAAAGCAATGGAGATATGAAGAGATTAGTAAAAAAAGAAATTAAAAAAAAAAAAAAAAAAAAAAAAGAAAGAAAAAAAAAAAGAGAAACAAACAAAGAAAGAAAAAGTCTATATAAAAATCTCGAAGGTTAAGGATAGTATCCAAGAGGATGCACGTCGATGTCATCAATCACGATTTCCCTCTATTGTCTTTCGAAGGGAACACTAACTGCGTAACATAAATATACAAGCTGTCTCTTCGTGTTTCTACAAACTATTCTCCGACCACGCATCCCTTTCTCTCTCTATCTCTCTTTAGGCAAGAGAAAAAACTGACGAAATCGTCGAGTTCGTTTCTCGAAAATATCTCAACTTATCCTACGGCGAATGTAACGAAAGATTACTTACACCTATAACAATGAAGATAACGAAGCATGAGCCTAATCGGTAAGTCGAAATGACTCGATCTTTCCGCAAATGGAAATATCGGTGCTTAACGATCAGACAGATTCATAGAGATCGATAGTCGCACGTGTTTCATTCCCTCGTCGTCATTTCACAAGCATCCATCCTATCAACTTTTACGTATCGTTATTTTTATTATTATTATTATTATTATTATTATTATTATTTTTATTATTATTTTTATTATTATTATGATTATCGAAAGAAAAGGATTGAGGCGAAGAAGAGGAAACGAAAGGTAACGATACGGCACCCTTCGAATGATCGAGATCGATCAAGCCGATAAATCGCTACCGTTAGGATGGATACTGTTTTCTTCGTGGAATGCAATATGGGTTCGGTTAAAAGCAAATCACGGAGTAGTAGCAGAAATAAAATGTCAACGATGTCGCGGCAACGATGTTGCACCAAAGAGCAAACGCATCCTTTTAAAAGGTTCTGAGATAGAGAGTATTGTTATGTGATCTGGCGTACCCTTAAACGAGTGAGTTCTCGTTCTTACGTTCGTGACGACGTTGCCCTTTCCACGTCGGATCCGTTTTCAAAACCGACAACCGATATGATAATGTCTCTCATCCGTCTCTTATCCACGAAAGAGATCGAGAAAATTATAACGAGACCTAGTTAAATGGTATAACGATTTTATTATGGATCGTGGACTTTGAGGATTCGACGAAACTATTAGTCCGCCATATTGAAAGACACAAGATTATACAATTATAACATCGAACGTGTTGATTTAAATTCGTCAAAGTGTCAAAATAAGACTCGACGATCATATTTCAAATATAATATATCTCATTAAACGAAATAATCGCGATTCATTAAAAATTCGAATGAGATTAAATGAAATTGGAATGATTATTATGACGTATAGCAAGGGAGAAAAGAAACACATTTTTATGGATAAAAATTTCAATTTTTTAAGATTTAAAGATAGAGGAGAGAGGGTCGATCGTGTTTTCCTTTCTAAATCGATGAAATATCGATGTCATGTAAATGTCGCGCTAAAACAGGAGTAGAAAGAGAAGAAGGAGGAAAAGGAGGGGAGAATATCGAGTAGAACTTGGTTCTACGAGGGCGATCGAACGATCGATGATTCTCGGTGCATACATCATCGGGGAAGAAGAAGAAGATGAAGAAAAAAAAAAGAAGAAAATGGTAGCTACCTTTGCCTCTTGTTGTTCTTCTCGACATAGTCAAGGAACAGTAGAAGACAGTAGAGAAATGCGGAGGGGGAAAAAAGCGTTCAGTTGCGCGGAGTATATAAGACACGGGGGAGCCAACGAGCTCGGTAGAATCTCTCCTAGGACAAAGGAGCTAGGTGATTTCGTCGCGTTTCGATACACACATATATATATATATATACATACATATATATAACAAAAAAAAAAGAAAGAGAAAAAAGAGAGAAAGAAAAGAAAGAAGAAATAATCACGCAAATATAAATCTTCGTGTTTGCGATCGATCGACCGACCGACCGACCGACCGACCGATCGATCGATCGTTCGTTCGTTCGTTCGTTCGTATTATAAGCTAATCGATCGTATTTAATTACCTTACGTACGTACGTGCGTTCGTGTCGTGTTCGTGGGATATGCCATTTCGAGTGTGTCGTCACAACAAGTGATCGTCGTTCTCAGCACCATCGCCATGGATCCTCGTCGATTTATCGTCGCACGATCGTTGGTACGTTCCATGTGGAAAATATAAAAAGGAAAAAAGAGAATTAGAAAATAAGAGGCAAGAAACGTTAGAGAGATCGAAAATCCTCATAAATCACAGAGAGAGAGAGAAAGGGGGGGGTGGAGAGAAAGAGAGAGTCTATCTCGTCTCGTATCATCCTTTCGAATTATTACGTGAAATATATTATCATAAATATATAGATAAAACAGAGAGTACGATTATCGTTCTTGTTTTATTTCTTTCTTTTCTTTTTTATTTATAAACAATAACAGGATTGACCAAGAAAAAAATATATACCTGCATATATACATATTTATATATGTATATATATATGTATATTTCGAACGAAGAAGTATTCACAAGATTCTCTCGTGCATTTCATTCGAATGAACAGCTCTCGACCTCTCCGCATGATCATAAATCCCGCGCGAATGTCGTGGTTCCCGTTACATTCACGCTCCTACTTACAAACGTAACCACCATAACAACGTTTTAGATTCTCTTAGCCGGCGAACATCGCGACTGCAGTAATGATTTTTCTCTCGATCGAGCATGTACTTTAGCAATGAAATTATTATACCTTTTATCCATTGGTTACGTAGATATCATTGTTTTTTTTTCTTTTTCTTTTTTTTTTTTTTTTTTTTCTCGAATATAATGAATCAATCGATCTTATCTCTTAATTAAACGTATAAATAATTCATACGTAATACCTGTAATAAATTGTTAATAATTAAATATGATTAAATGTCGAAGAAAAGATTTTTAGTTTGAAATGATAGTATGATATTTGAAATTTTTATATCGGGAAATTGATCGAATCGAACGAAAGCGTAGCCATTCATCGCCGAAGGCGTTCAATGAAATCGAAAATAAATCTTTTCGATGAATGATCAAGGGGAATAATTAAATAGAAAGTACAGAAAGGTCTACCTATTCGAGGATGGTCCGTCTTCGTCGATGATGCGTGCCATCCCGATTCTAATCGTTGATTATACAATTTAACTTTTACCATCGCACGACGCATACCTCAACGTTGATCCTGGGTCATCGATCTCTCGAACGTAGCCACTATATGTAGATACATGAGTACCTTTCTTCGGCATTTCGTACATTTCAAATGATGCAATAATAATAGATGTGTAAAAGATGAGTGTCCGTTAACCATCATTTTCAACGCTCGAAGAGCGTGTTTTATCAATGGGCAGGACAGGGGGATGGAAAGGGGAATTATTGATTAAAGGGAAAAGAAAAAACTTTTATTATAAAACAACTTTTCACGATACGGCAGGTCGCCGTTTGTCTTCTATACGCGACTTACTGTTCGGCTGAAAAATTGTCACCCGATCAAAAGGCCCCACCTTTCGCTCGTGGCTCCGGTGGACTTATTTTGAAGGCACCCTTCGAAGGTGGAGGTCAACCGGCAGGTTCGAGTAACATTGACGGAGTTCAAAGGGAAGAAAAGGAAGATATTAAAATCGTTGACGGTCAACCGGTTCGCGTTGTGGAAGGAAGTTTCTCTTATAAGAGCCCTGAAGGACTTCCTGTGTCTTTTAAGTATGTCTACTTATATTTTTTAATCAATTTTCCACTTTTTTTTTACTTTTTCCTTTTCTATTTCCATATAACGTGATAATAAAAATTAATTATCGTTGCTTCATAATTATTATCAACTTAACAAAAGGAGAAGAAGAAAAATATAATAAATAGAATGATGATGATGATTTAAATGTATAAACTCAAGGTACGTCGCCGATGAAAACGGGAACAAAGCCAGCTTCAAATTTGGTACAGCCGCTGGAGGTGGTAATGGAATTCCTGGAGGTAGTAATGGAATACCGACTCCTACGGGTTATCCACCGAGGGGACCACCCAATGGCGTTGGCAATGGAAAGGAACCAGGAATATATTTGCCACCAAGTTCTAATAAGGACAAGAACGTCGATAGAAAATATCTTCCACCGCAATAATCGATCTTTCTTGTACTATCCAATGGCATCTCAATTAGAAAGGATTGAAAAATGGATTTCAATGTAATCGATAGAGACGATCGATACGACGACTCTTATACTTTTTAATTAAGAAAACAATCCCACGTGAGCTCCATTTAAATTGATGATAATTTTAGAGAACGCGTTGTTTAGAAATATATATATATATATATATATATATATATATATATATATATTTCAAAAATAATTTATGACGACGTTAATGCGTCGTAATCACGGACTTAATATGTACAAAGATTCAAATCCGTATCTCTTCGGGAGATCACGTGATAATAAGAGAAAAATATATTTTTTTATAAATTTTTATCGTCCTCCATTTATTTATTTATTTATATATATTTTTTTTTCTTTTCTTAGTTTTTCTTTTTTTCCTTTAACGATTCGCCTTTTTGACCACCTACGAAATTACGCGTCAATTCAACGTCTGCGGCATCTAAGATGCCGTACGAAGGGAAAACCGTGAAGAAAGAGAGAAATTACTTCTTCTTGAAGAAATCAGAGAAAAGCTGCTAATGTCGAACTACTTACGTGTGTGATTCGACGCATACATATCGTATGAAATCGTACATTCGTATGAAACGCATTTACGTGCGACACGATTCGATACGAACATTTGTTCTCAAGAGTTTTCTTAGATAACTGCGATTTATTGAGATTACATGGATTCGCCAATTATGACTTTTTAACATTTATCCATATATATATATATATATTACATTATTAATAATTATTTATATATGCGTGTATGTATTCAACTTTATTGTCCTTTTTTTTTTAAAAACGTTTCGCTTTCAAAAATTTTCTACAATTTTCATTTAATTAAAACTAATTTCTAACTCGAAGGCCCCAAATAGTCCCACTTTGATTTCCTATAGTAGGCCTTGCGATAGAACTATATAGAAAGTTATTAATTTTTAATTTCTTCGGCAATGACTTTGGTAACATATTAAATATATCCAAATACTCTATACGCGGCATATGTTCCAATTCTAAATACGATAATGCAGATATGTTATAACAACGACTTAATGACAAATGTTCTAATTTCGTCAAATTTAGAATATTTGAAATTGCTTTGTCGGTAAGTACCGTACAATCGCTTAAATCTAATTCTATCATATCTGGACAGGATTTTACCAATTCTTCGACATCTAAAACATATATACATATATATATATATATATATATATATATATATATATACACACACACACACACACACACACATACACACATATTCTTCGTAATTTGTTAAGCATGTAAAAAAAAGATAATAAGAAAAAAGTTCACTTACTGTGATCTATTATTTCTTTACATCCGGAAATATTAAAGCGAACAATAGTAGGTGGAAGCATTTTACATAAAATAGTAACAGGTTCTTTATCCAATGAACACCATGCCACGTTGAGTTCGGTTAAGCTGTAACAACGAATTATAACAATTTATCTATGACATCATAGACAATAAAAAAAAATTATTTACCTTCTGAGTTTAAGTATATGTAAGACACCCTTAAGATCTATTCCCTCGCACATGCCCAAATTCAATACCGATAATTTAGTGCAATAACTTAATTCTTTACAGCATGCTGCATTCAAAGTACAACTTTCCAAAGATAATTTTTTTAAATGTTTACATTTGGATAATAAATTTGCCAGATTATCCGGTAATATCATTGCCATAGAAATATCTAAGTATTGTAATTTGTATGTATAATCGTTATCAAAATGATTATTCGCTTCTTTAATCACAGATGTTATAATCTTTGCTTGTGCAAGCCTTAAAATTCGTACGCCTTTCGATAATATTTGTTGCAACGTAATTTCGTTTAAAGTTTTCCGACATAAATCTAAATTGTTCCATAATATTTCATTGTACGTTATTTCACGCCATCTCTTACAAACCATCGTACACTGTATCTGTAATTTTTTACAAACAATACTTTTTTTTTATTTTAACAATATCTTTTGCAATGACTGACTAATTTGCCCGAAAATTAATTCCAATAAAATATTCATGTATAAATATTGTTTTTACCAGATCCTTCTTAGGCAACCATTTAAATATTAATAATATTAATTCATTCGATAGTTTGTCATTAAAATCATCGTCTCCCACGCAGGATGATATACGTTTGTTCCTAAAGAAAAATATATTCCTAATGTCACCAACATTAGGGAAAACATTATCACTTTTTTTAATATTTTTAAAACGATTTATTCCTTTTCGCGAAGTATAAATATTTTTAGACAGAACAGACTTATCAACGACCATCTCTCTTGAAGTGCAAAGACTTTTTTCCATGTTTTAACAAATATATATATATATATATTTCAATAAAGGAATTGTAAAATTTCGTAATATCAATATTTATTTTCTTCGTTATACACTCGTTTTTCAGACACTAACTTTACATCTATTCGGGTTTCAATTTGAAACTGAAATGACTCACTGGTAACACTAATATAATGATAACCTTGCATAAGGATATATGAGAAGAAAATATTTACAATAACATGAATTCTAAATAAAGCAAACATTTGTATCTTCTTTTTACTTCGGCTTAAAAGAAAATATCGTTAAGTCGATTAGAAAGAATAGAAGGTAATTTTTCAAAAAAAGAATCGACATTTATCACACGAGAATAAATAGAAATATTTAAAATGACATAAATCTTTTATTCTTTTACAATGCATACCATACAATACAACAATTATTAGTTAAATACAATCACACTTGATGAACACGTGTATGCCGCATATTTATATATAAACATATACATATATATATATATATATATATATATATATATATATATATATATATATATATGAGCATACAGTAAATCATGAATTGTTATATACAGCATCCCCTATTATGCAAAATATATATCATCTAATTTTAGTAATACTACCAAAGATGTAGTTCACCTTAAAAAAGGGACATCTGAGAAAGAGATCTGAATTAGGCACAGTTAGTGATCCAAATAGAGCTATAAGCGTGTTATCATATTAATGATTTTTTTTTCTTTTGTTTTTTTTTATTAAATAATATGATCAGTCTCACAATGAAGGCCAGTATTACTATAAAAATAAAACCTTCTATACAATTTCACATTGACTTCATCATATGTTATTCGTAACATTGACTTTTTGCTAGAATTATATAATTGTATCACCATTTTATTAATTTCAGTCTCGAACTCTAAGACCCCAAATACTTGTTCTTCGAACGCCAACTGTTGGTCTTGCGACAGAACTATATAGGAACTTATTAATTTCAGTTTCCCCACAATTAGATTGTACCGATTTTAACATTGGTTCTGACATCAAGCCAAACACATCCAAATACATTAGGCATGGCATATAAGCTAATCTGATATAAGTTGACGGTGGTATACTATAACAACGACTTAATGACAAGTGTTCCAATTTAGAAAAATTTAGAAGATTAGGAACTGTATTCATGGTAAGCAGCGTACAATCGCTTAAATCTAATTCTACAATCTCTGGACAAGATTTGACCAAATCTTTGATATCTAAAACAGATAAATTCTGATTATAACCTCGATAACAAAATTATAGAATATTAATAAAAGAAAAGAAAAGAAAAGGAAAATTGTTTCACTTACTATCGTCTGTCATAGTTTTTCGGCATCCGGATATATTCAACCGTGTAAGGGAAGGCGGAAGTGATTTACACAACAGAGAGACAGACTCTGCATCCAATGAACACCATGCCACATTGAGAGCAGTTAAGCTATGACAATTGTAAATTTTTCCGATAATTTACATCATGCATTATAGTATAAGTCTAAAATAAATACAATTGGGGCTACTTAAAGTGCTCAAAATGATAAAATTCACCAAGGAAAGTGCTTACCTTCTAAGTTTGATTAAATCTGTAACACATTCAAGATCTAGTCCTTCGCACATAGATAAATTCAACACGGTCATGTCAATATTTAAACTTATCGCATTACAGCATGCCATATTCAAAATACAACTTTCCAATGATAATTTTTTTAAATATTTGCATTTAGACAATAAATTTGCTAAACCATCAGCTGATATTACTGCCATAGAAAGATCCAAATATTGTAGTTTACAGACATAATTACTATTTAAAACTTCAGTGCTGTCTTTAAATATTGGATCTGCAATTTCAGCCTGGGCAAGCCTTAGGATTTGAACACCACGTGGCAATATATGTTCCAATGTTCCTTCATTTAATACTTTACTACCTAAATCCAGTCTACTCCATAATGCCTCGTCTCGTGCTATTTGACACCACCTTTTACATACTAACATGCAACGTACCTAAATTTAAACGAATCCGATGGTAAATCATTTAGCACAAAACACCAGGTCCTAACATTTGACAAATGTTATAATATATAAATATTCCTTACTAAGCATCTCTTAGGTAACCATCTGAATATCATTAAAATCATTTCATCAGATAGTTTGTTGAATTCGTCGTCTCCTTCATGTGACAATTTTCTTTTCCTTCTATACAAGTAAAAATGATCTAAACTATCCTTATTTGATGAAGCATTTAATTTTTCTTTACCATAATCATCTTTAATATCCCCAAATACTTCAACATCCACCCTTGAACCATAACCAGATTCATTCGTATGTCCATAATTGCATGGATTGTCTGTATCATATGGATCCTGTTCTAGCCTTTAATAAAAATAAATATAACATTATGAATTACAAATAGAATATAATAACGACATATTTCAATATTTAAATGAACTTATAAAGTAATTATTATTATAGTAATTGTTACAAACCTTTCGATAGTGACAGTTTCAAAACTGGTACCTCTGTACAGAGATTTTTGTTCCGTATCGTAAATCCCATTATCATTTAATGGTAACCGTTTATTATTATCCGCATTAGTTAGAGAAACAGTACAATCCGGAGATTGTACTTTGTTAACGTTATCACAGTTGATTGCTTCATCCTCTAGCATACTAACTCCCATATCTTCTAATATTTCTGGCTCGACAAGACTACTATCAGCATTGTAAGACCATCTTGTATTATTCTTTGATGTACTATTGAATGTACTATTTAAGTTATTACAGCCATCATCCATACGTACTCGTTTACTGTAAAATAATAATTATTATTCCAAACAGATAAGAGTAATAATATTATGAATATTTGAAGATGATATTATCTAAAAACAAAGTTCTAACTACATAAGTAAATATAGAACAGAACCTGTTCCACCATGGTGAAGAGTATGTTTGTTGGCTCATCTTAAGCTCTTAGATTTTCACTTGAAAATGATGATAGGTTGTTTAAAAAGGAAAAGGAAAAAAGGTTAAATGGATAAATCTCTAATGTGTGAGAAATGAAAATTTTCAGAAATACTCCTAATATCTACTTATACAAAACTTTAGCGAATCTCTTAGAGGTATGACCGAATATTAACTATATCCTGACACAATGAATTAAGACAACAATAGAAGACAAAAAAAATGTCAATAACTTCGATATTCGCAAACGCAATTTATAGGAACGTATAAGTTACAGATACATCAAGAAAATATCACAGTACGTATCGGGATACGTTGAAGGGAATAGAATGAACAATCCAAATGGGGAATCGAGTATCTTATCGAACGAATAAATAAGATAATTTAATGCGTGAGATAAAAGTAAATGCATTTTTCAAAAAGATACATAATACACGTACGTAATCCGAAAATCGAATTTAAACGTAAAATATAGATAAAATATAGGACGGTCACACTTTTCACAAAGGAACGAAGAATTGAATTATCAACGATTCTTTATAACGAAATCCCATGCTATTCGGAGGGGAATAAAAATGTGAAAAGCAAAGGCTTTTAACCTTACTTGGTACGCGCCAGTGCGGGCGTACACCTGTATCCCCCTCCCCCTTAAAAGCAACAGGTAAGGAAAATAAGGGTACGCCGTGAGGAACGTTGATTTCTCGATTTTCAAACGGTTCAACTAATAATACAATCGAATTATTTAATAACAAGAAAAAAGAAAAAGTTAATAAACCGACTTACCTCTCTGGCGGCGAAAATTCCTCGGAATTCTTGATATCCTTCTGACCGAGTCTCGTGTGCTCCACCATGCCGGAATTCATTTTTGGCGGAATATTCTCGCTCTATCTTTTTTTCAATCGACCCAAACTACAGCTTGCTTGAGAATTACGAGAAGCGCGAGAGCCGATTGCTCGAAACACTTCGAGATATTTCGATGGTTGTGCCAAACCACGACGCTGATTGGCCAATAGGCCAAATCGAAATACTATCGCTCTGACTTCTGATTTCGATTGATGCACTTCGATATTATCGTTGTAAAATTTTGGCGGCGAAAGAACAGGTGCATTACATTACAACACGCCAAGTGGGCAAAACTTTCGGTGTTAATTATCGAACGTAGAAATACGTTTTCGCTTCTAATCGTTTTGTAATCTGTGATAACTAATGCATATATGAAAGGATTATATAAGGATTAATTGGCGGGAATACATACGTGAGTATTATTGCGCGGGAAAAATTCGTTCGTTCGTTCGTTCGTTCGTTCGTTCGTTCGTTCGTTCGTTCGTTCGTTCGTTCGTTTATTAACGTATAGGTTAGAAATCGCGCGCGCAAATTTACATCCGAAAAGGAATAAAAACTTTTAATTGAGAGTCAATGACCTTTTTCTTCTTTTTTCTTTTTTTTTTTTTTCCATAGCGAATATTTATTATTCAGAAAGCATTTATTCTTCGTTACATGAAATTCTCCGAGGATTCTATTCCATTTTTCCTTTATTTATTTAGTTTTCTTTCTAATACTCAAGATGATTACGATTACGGAAAAGAAAATCGTAATAAAAAAGATATTCATTCGCCATTTGGCCTATCCTTGGACAAACGATTTCTTTTATCGTAAAATTTATCCTTGGAATAACCTTCTCGAAGGATCGGTGTACGATAGGCCAATCGAGGATCAGGTACTTTCATCTTTTTATCCTCGGCATATATCTTCATTTGAAAGCTCACTAAATCCGACGTTCTCTTGTGAAAATGAAATCTTTGATCCTTAGGTTCTATGCCTTTTTCGTGCCACCAGCCATAACTATGAAAATGCAATAGAGTAAACGAAAACGAGTTGTTCGAACTAAAATAGGAAAAAAAAAAAAAAGATACTTTTCGTTTCTTCTAATTATTATTACGTGTGACTTGTCAATAACGGCCAACGATAAACTTCCTTTGGAATTTTCTCTTCTTCGTTGGTTAATCGTTTAATCGTATCGTCGACATCGATCTTCTGCAAATCCTCGAATTCTCTCGAATAAAATTTTGGCGTTACAAAGTTCGCTGCGAATTTAATTTCAGTATTAAAACATAAAATTTTTTTTTTTTTTTCTTTTTTTTTTATAATAATAACGACTTTATCGACCGAGTCAAATGATCTATGAAAAAGTAAAGGATCACCGAAGAGAAAGAAAACATCGAAAATAATATTGATATAATAAAAGGTACTTACGTACCATTAGTTTTTGTAATGTAAGCATCCGATCGTCCAATTGGTTGTTGCTTAGAGAAACAAAGTTTGAAGGGTGGTTTATCCGTTTGATTTTTCGAAATCGTTTTCGAATCTGTTCGCGAACTCACCGACATATTTCACAACGTTCAAGTAAAGAAACAATAATTCTTCTCTCTCTCTCTCTCTCTCTTACTCTTTGTCGCGTTGCGAAGTAAATACTTTTTTAGCTTGCTTTCTGTGTACGCTCAAAGAGGAGATAACACGCAATGTCAACGACACCAAGGGGACTTGTTTATTTGATCGATATTTCTCAGGGGATCGAATTATTAGAAACGTAAAAGGGAAGCTAATTAACATATGAAGTTGACAATATTTTGTCAGGTTTTTTATTTTTCTTTTTTTTTTTTTCTTAAAAGAAAAAAATGGATAAATAAAAGAAAAAAAGAAAAAAAAAGAAAAAACAATGCGAAAACAATTTCAGATACTTCTTTCTTTTTTTTATTTATTTAATTTTTTTTTCTTTTTTTTTCAATGCTCCCATTAATAATGCATATATCTGAATAAAGTATACGATTTAATAATGATTAGTCTTAGTAATGTTACAAAATCTTTTCAATGTTTAAGCACACTTCTCTCTCTCTCTCTCTCTCTCTCTCTCTCTCTCTCTCTCTCTCTCTCTCTCTCTCTCTCTCTCTCCCCCACCCTCAGCCCTTATTTCTTCCCTTTGCGTTATTTTAAGCCAAACTTTATTGTATTCGCACGAATTTCTACTCATACGCGATCAGTATTACATGTTCTAAAAGATCGCTACTTCGAATCAAAAGTTTAGCCATCTTTGTAAAAATCTCTCTCTCTCTCTCTCTCTCTCTCTCTCTCTCTCACTCTCTCTGTTTTACCCTTTCTACGCTCGTCGTCTATTTCTCACATAGCAATGTACAAAAGTGTTCACTCGTATTAAGCAAAATCTTTAATATGAGCCAGTTGAAGTAAGAAATCAATCTTTATATGGAAGGCTTATTCATTGTCGGCTTATCAGCCAAACTTTAAATACTATTTTATCGATAAAACACGAGCATTCAATAAACATTCTTAGATTTCACAATTATTATTGACTTTTTAAAAATGTATTATGATTAACATCGACTTTACTCCATTCACCCTCCCCTCCCTCTCTCCCTCTCTCCCTCTCTCTTTCTCTTTGACTTGTACTGTATAACCTTGAAACTCGTTTCAATGTTAAGAGTCCATTTTTGTTTGCGAAGAACGCAGAAAGGGAAAGATGCCAAATAATATATATACATACATACATACATACGTGCATACATACATAGATACATATATATATATATATATGTATTATATGTATAATTAGCATTTTTCCTATATCTAATTCGTCATTAATCGTGTGAAATTGTTAACGAGATTAAATCGAAAATGCAAGGCGAAGACCTTTGGAATATGGCAGCGATATCGCCGTTGCATATCAGCATATCCGTACTCTTTATGCGTACATACATACACATAGGATAAACATACTAATGTAGTACAGTACTATCGCAAATCGTAATTTCAATTACGCCGAGATGAAAATATCAAAGGTAGCCGCCAGTTATCCATTAGTTATACTAATATCGATGCTCTCGTCTAAAACGAAAAATCACATCCCCCGGATGCTGTCCATGTTTATCTATTTATCCGTCATTAGATTAGATGAAATTAATTATAGATCATTCCTTCTTTACGGACTAATGTTTTTTCTTTTTTTCTTCTTTTTTCGTCTTTTCCTTCTTTATTTTATTTTATTTACTTTTTTTTTCTTTTTTTCATTTTACGAATTACATACCATTACAGTTTTTGTTTTCAAATAAAAAGTGAGATGTTCAATTTTTTTTTTCTCTCGCATCGACAAAATTAAGAAAAAAATCGCGTGAAAGAGGAACGTTGCAATAAATAACAATTTAAGAGATTATAACGAAAAAGAAAAAGAAAAGAAAAAAAAAGGTGAAATACTTTTGACGAAAGTAAATAAAGGAATGATAATACTTGTTTAAAGTTTCTTTTTTTCGTTTTCTTTTTTTTTTTTTTTTTTTTCTAAATAAAAATATGCGCTCCAATACGATCAGAGGACAGAATTTTTTCTAATGACGCCATTGCGCGATAAGTGTTGACCGCCTTTATCTTACACACCGATTAATCATTTTAGAAAGCAACTCGTTTTAGGTTTTTGATACTCGCGTTATTATTATTATTATTATTATTATTATTATTATTATTATTATTATTATTATTATTATTATCATTATCATTATTATTACTCCGAGCGAAAAATCACGATTTTATAAATATTCAGCTCTCTTCTATTCATTTTGTTGGACGATCTTAGAGGATTTAAAATCTTTCCTTCATTCTTTCCCCTTCTATCAACCTTCCGTTCAACTCTTTTCTATATATCATTATACGCGTTATAATAAAATTATTTGTACGTTCATTAATTACAGTCTCAACATTTACAGGTTTTTCTAGGCTAGAAACGCGCGCATTTTAAAACTGAAAATGAAAAATCATGTAACGCATCGTGCTTGCACGAAAGCTTTCTTTTCTCGAAATTTCCTTTTTTTTTTCTTTTTTTTTTTTTTTTATCAAGAAATCAATTCTTCAGCAAAAGGAATAAAATAAATTATTCTCATGATTATTATGGCATCATTAAAAGAAGTAGAATCGAGCAAAGAATCAGGCGAACACGTTGCGTTACTATATTATATTTTAAAGCTTCTTCTGAATATCCTTCTCTTTTTCTTACGCACATATATACACGTGCACATACACACTCTCTATTTTTATCACGCACTCTTCTAATTTTAAAAACGAGTCATTCCCTCGGTTTTCATATTTCAAAATAAACTCCCACGTGTTATATCGAAAAAAAAAAAATAAAAAAAATAAAAAAATAAAAAAAAGAGAAAAAAAAATAGAAATTATTTATGTCATGATCGCATCGTACGAGAGAGAAAAACTTAAAGAGTACTCGTTAGTGCTATCACACAGAGGCCATTAAAAATTCTATATCTCAGAGGACATATTAAAAGTATCATAACGATTCCTTCATCTTTTTTTTTTCTTTTTTTCTTTTTTTTATTCTATTTTATTATTTTTCCATTTATTTCGTCTTGTTATCAATACGAGATTAATAATGACAAGGCATCTACTTGGATTTTTTTTTTCATCTTTTTTTTTTTTTTTTTTTTTTTTTCCTCCTATCAAGAAGAATCACTCGATCGGTGTTTAGGTTAGATATTTAAGTGTTCTTTTTTCTATGTTTTCTAATAGCCATATGAAAATTTATGTGCACTCTAAATCACTTCAAAAGGAATATATATATATATATATATATATGTGTGTGTGTGTGTGTGTGTATATTTTATTTAAAATTCTAATGCGCAGAAGTGCATGTATGAAAAAATAAAAAATATTTTTTTTCGTCTCTTTTCTCCTCCTTTTATCGATCATAGCTTTAGGATAAATCTTAAGAGCGAAGCATATCAAAATTAGCAACGTAAAATTATGAATTTATATAACACCGATATTCTCGGTGGGATCATACATTAAAATTATGGAGATTCATCGATGACCTTAGACACATCTTGGATCATTAAGAAATAGAAATAAAAAGATAACAGATTTATTTCACGATAGATATGACTGGGTGATTATTAATCGATTTTGAAAGTGGCCCAAGTTAAAAATTAAAAATTAAAAAAAGAAAAAAAAAAGGAACAAGTAAAAGGATTAGTAGTTATACATCGTGTAATTCATATAATTAAATCATCGATCTACGAATAAATTAACTTCTTTTTATATTTTTTTACTTAGACCGCTTTCACAATCATCATTGTGGTGGAGGGGGGGGGGGTGGGGGTATATATGTATTCATAAAATTCTCATAAGAATCGATTATGTAATATTGTACAAATTGAAATTGTATATTTGTCTTTTTACTAATTTATCAATTTGTAATAATTTAGATCGATCGATGATAAATTTGTAATTATCGAGATCAATAAGAGATCTATAATCGCACGAGGAAAGTTAGGATCATTGGAAAAAAAAACTGATCCGCGAATGAAAAAAATTCAAAATGATTCAATAAACATTGGATCTATTTACGTGTATCATTTTAAGATTAACGGGGAAAACGAAAGTAATGAAAATGAATGAAAATAAAGATATTATTATTTGCCGAAGATATAATGACGATGATAAAAAAAAAAAAGAATATTATTAATGTCGACGCAGGATGATGTTCATTGAAAAATGGCTGATTCCGTCACACTCTTTTTCTACTCTTAGGATAATAGGCACTATCGCTAATAAGGGTAAGTTCTCCGTATTTGAGTTCCCCTATTTATGGAGTAAGAAATTCATAAAAAAATCGACGTCGATCTCAATGTATCGATCAGATAACTTGCATTTTCTAATTTCTTTTCTTTTTTTTTTGTTTTTTTTTTTTTTCTTTTTTATCGTCATCTCATCTTTGACGTCATTGAGAGAGACTCGAATAATGTTCAAGAAGAAATTCAACGCGTTCGTTACAAATCCAATGTGATTATAAAATTATTCTAATGATAAATCATTTGAGATATTAGATAAAAGATATATAAGTACATATTTTATCTCATAGAGAGAGAGAGAGAGAGAGAGAGAGAGAGAGAGAGAGAGAGAGAGAGATAGACGCTGTTTTCAAAATTTTTTAATTATAAAAAAAATTTGTCTCTATCCCTCTAATATATTAATTTTTTCTATATCTTTATAGATAAAAAAAAAATTTACCAATAAATCAAAACCTAAAAATAGTATCAAAATATCTTGGAACTAAAAAATATTTCTTAATCACCGAATTCATGTGGTCATCATTTCGATACAAGATCGACGACGATTTTGTAGCTTTTTTTTTTTATTTATCTTTTTTTTCTTCCTTCAGAAAAACGGATGTACGAATCGATGTACCAACGTCTTGCTCTCTTTTCGAACGTATATTATTATTTACAAAAATTGCCATTAGAGCGTAAACAAGTGTGTGTTTACTAACGACGGATTCATTTTCCACAAATATCCCTATTTTTTTTCTGTAATAAAAAAAAGAGAGAACGAAGGTCTCTTATATCTTCTCCTTCTCTCCCTCTCTCTCTCTCTCTCTCTCTCTCTCTTTCTCTCTCTCACTTTCTCCCTCTCCCTCTCTCTTAGTCTTACTCTAGCAAAGATTGACCGCGAAAAGCGATCTAAATATAGGTCGCTCGTTTCGAACGATAATATGTTTATATATATACATATGTGTGTGTGTGTATATAAATGTGTGTGTATAAATATGGCAAAACACCACAGAAAAGTACATCAAATTTGATCAATTCTTTTCGATC